CAATTAGCTTAGAAGCAATTTGCTTATTACAAGTGAAGTGAGTTTTACTTGGCACCTTCTCTGCTATACGTGTGGTGTGCTAGAAAGTTTTAGTTCCTTAGTTGTTTCAACACTAACACAGCAATTTGCTGACACTGATGGTGCACATTTCAAAGAGTAAAGTCAACACATCTATAGCGTCAAGGGCTGCGAAGACATTTTTATGGGTTTAAAATTTTCCGTCATACTCAGTATCTTATAAGCTATGTGATATATCCTCACAGCCCTCAATCTAACCTCTTGGTTTCTTAGCTTTAAATCCTATGGATCGCAAAAAGGTCATTAAGGATGCATTTCACCTGTGTACACCAAACAAGAACTCTTTAATCCGTATAACAGGGATTAAACTCGACGTATCTCCCTGACAGATGTCCACCTTAGCATTTAGCCAAAAATTTAGCTCATTCCTTAGACATTTTATAATATATATATATATATATATATATATATATATATATATATATATATATATATATATATATATATATATATATATATATATATATATATATATATATATATATAACCTATGTGTTATATGTAATCTGTGATTACATTACCTAAAGTCCAACCTGTAAATGAACAAAACCTAACTCTTTGATAAGTTTGGCTAATCCACAGTGAGATTTGTAGAGCTGTGTGATATCCTCAAGTGAGGGTTATTGATGCCGGTGTGGGGGGGGGGGGCACTTAATCCAAGGAATTGGACTGAGCTATATTTAATCGCTTCTACCGACCGGAGTCTATTTCCTTAGAAACAGCGAGCAGGGTACTTTCACCTTGAACTGCGCTCCACATGGAGATCCGTGTTGAATTAAATAAATACCATCCACTTGGCCATATTAACGTAGGTTATTTACATGGAAATAATGTTCTTTTTACTTGCTGTCCTGAGTCTTCGCATCATCACATTTTAGCATGTTGCTATAAATATTTTTCATCAGTGTTATCGATGCAGATTATAGAGAGGAAGTTCAGTGTAGACACTTGTGCCACCCCACTGTACGTAATTATTGTTGCCTATCGTCCATCTGTTGTAATAGTCATTCTTATAGTTCGATAGTGCTCCCTTGGGTCTCTATTCTCGGGCCCAACATTTCTGTTTGTCTACAACATTCTTCTGTATCTGCGTCAACACATAACACGGTCAATAAGGTTAAGTAATTTGCGAGAGATAATTAAAGTAAAAGGACACAAGTGCAACTAATGTGACATTTATTGTGGCAACGTTTCGCTCTCCAGGAGCTTTATCAAGCCATTACAAACAATACATGGACACAGAGGGTATATAAAGGCTCAGAGTGAGGTGAATACTAGTGAGGTACCATTTCAATGTTCACTAGTGGTAGTAGTAAGAAACCTCGACACCCGCCTCAATGAACACATATACGCATGTAGGAACGACAACTTAAACAACGCCTGTGTACAACACCGAAATTCCACCAATCATCTTATGAAATTCAGAGACGCCCAATTAGTGATAAAAGAAACTAATTTCCGCACACGCAAGTGCCTTGAATCAGCACTGATCGCTGTTTCGAATACAATTAAACAAAACAACGGCAGCTTCACCATCTCCGAAGTCTTAGCAAGAATCCTCCTGAAAACAGTAAACCCTGCCATCACATAGTCTCTCCTGTTATACTACACAAAGCACAGAGAGTGAACACTGAAACAAGCTGCCTCATTCCAGTTTATATTTGTCCAACCTATTTTTATGTTACCCAAGTAATAGCTTTTATATCCTTTTACTCATGTACGAATTAATTGCTCTACCATATTGTATTACTTTTGTCACTACCACTACTACTACTACTACTACCACTAGTGAACATTGAAATGGTACCTCACGAGTATTCACCTCACTCTGAGCCTTTATATACCCTCTGTGTCCATGTATTGTTTGTAATGGCTTGATAAAGCTCCTGGAGAGCGAAACGTTGCCACAATAAATGTCACATTAGTTGCACTTGTGTCCTTTTACTTTACATATTGTCGGTAATTCTACCAACTTTATTACGAGAGATAATTACTTCCCATGATTATATAAACATTACCACCAGAGTGAAGACGTGCAAATTAAGCACCTGTTCTTCATTCCAGTGTACACTCTCGGTTGGTCAGCCATGGCTCGACCCAGGAGATAATTTCTCCTCCCATACCACGTGCCGCTACTTTCCTAACATGACTACAAAGTGCATATACACAATATCATAATTTATATCTTGGTCCACCGTCTCGAATACCTTAGTGAAATAGATTAGTAAATTCGTAAAGCAAAACCGCCCCTTTATAAAACCGTCCTGAGATTAATTGATCAAATTATATCTTTCAGGGTGGCTTTGAATTGCAACAGCTGTTACTGATCATGTTATGTAAAAAGGAACAGTGGGTGTAAAGAGACTTGTCAATACGTCTCACTATTCTTGATTGTAAACTGAATACACAAACACTTCTTGTGACTATTATGATGGGAACAAGACCTGCTGCCACGAGATTTCAACTCAGATAAGCATTACTAATCGATCATGACAGGTGTCAACTAACATATGAGAATGCATGCTTGTACATGACCGTGTACAGCCACACTGCTTTCTCTCTGTCTATCGCTCTATCTCTCTCTCAGCATTAGCAGGAAGTTCTGGCACGGGTCAGAAGTCCAAGGAGCGTGAGGAAGGTAAAGACGTGCTACAGGATGTTGCTACAAGGTCGTCTTGACAAATGTTGAAACATATGTCAAAAGCAATTGTCAATAGACGTGTGTGTGCGTGTGTGTGTGTACTCACCTAGTTGTACTCACCTAGTTGAGGTTGCAGGGGTCGAGTCCAAGCTCCTGGCCCCGCCTCTTCACTGGTCGCTACTAGGTCACTCTCCCTGAACCATGAGCTTTATCGTACCTCTGCTTAAAGCTATGTATGGATCCTGCCTCCACTACATCGCTTCCCAAACTATTCCACTTCCTGACTACTCTGTGGCTGAAGAAATACTTCCTAACATCCCTTTGATTCATCTGTGTCTTCATCTGTGTGTGTGTGTGTGTGTATGTGTGTATGTGTGTGTATGTGTGTGTTTGTGTGTGTGTGTGTGTGTGTGGTGTGTGTGTGTGTGTGTGTGTGTGTGTGTGTGTGTGTGTGTGTGTGTGTGTGTGCTGGTAATCACCACAGGGCTGAAAAGTATCATACGAGACAATTTTTTAAGGAACTGGTAAAAATGTTATCAGCATGTGAATATCGAATGGCTCAGTACAGCTTGTTCTCCTCGCGTGTCTGAAGAGCTAGCAAGTGACTCATAGCTCAGTGGAAGATCGTTCAGCTCACAACGTAAAGGACTAGAGTTCGACCCCTGGGCAGGTGGAGATGCATGAGCAAATCTCTTACACCTGATGCCCCTTATGTATTATTAATCTTTTGATTAGAAACTTTGACAAACTTCTCTTTCCATTTACTACCAATTTTTTAAGTGTATTTTCAAAAGCTTTTTGGAAGCCTTCATATATCTCTCGTTTCAAAGTAAAGATCAATAGTATTTAACAAAGATGCCCAAGAAGTGATATTTTGTGGACCTGAAACTTGACTAGGCTCTCCTCCTGTTCAGCGTCCATAAATAAGATTTCAGCGGTTCACTAACGTCTAGACTAGCACCATAAAGCAACAGTGTATCCTACCACTGTATACAATATACAATAGTGCCGTCAGTGGGTCCCAAACTCTAACACACATAGGTAACCATCAGTGGAGACTTACTTTTTTAATGCTAGAGTGTAGACGAAGACTGCAAGAGGAAAGAGAATTGTATCTAGTGTCCTCATTATTATTATTATTATTATTATTATTATTATTATTATTATTATTATTATTATTATTATTATTGTTGTTGTTGTTGTTGTTGTTTCTGTTGCGTTTGCTGTGAGCGAAAATTCCACGACTCTTAACCCACGGGACCATACAATCCTACAAGGATCACGCACCCAGCAGAGCTAGGTGTTGTACCGTGATCCGAGGACAAACACCATTGTGTGGGTTAGAGCGTTGTGTGATTTTCGCTCACCATGAGGCGGGCCAAAACAAATATATATATATATATATATATTATATATATATATATATATATATATATAATATATATATTTATATATAATATATAATATTATATAATATATATATATTAATTTTTAATTATTAAAAATCTATACAAGTAACATAATGTCATAGCACTTGTATGAGGAGAGGAATTTTTTGCTTGGACTTTTACATTTACGTTTAAATAGATCCTTAGAGTAGAGATGTAGTGACTTCAGTAGCAGGAAATACCCCTAGGGCCACAGCAGCCGCAGAAAAATGCAGAATTTTGGTGACTTCAGTAGCAGGAGGTACAATCTGAGTGACAACACTTGTAGGAGTGATGATGGCTACAGCATCAACTGGATCATAACACCTGCAGAATTATGGTGCCACAACACATGTGGAGTGATGGTGACATCAGTAGCAGGAAATATCATTTGTGGTTCAGCAGCCACAACAACTGCTCCTAAAGGATCTCACGCACTACCTGATTCAGCGTGAGCAGCCCAACAAGCACTATGGGACTTCCCTCAGCACCCGTCAGAAGCCTCGTACCATGAAACATAGGCGACTCAAAGGGCTTCACATTCCTTCGTCTAATTTTGCTGTCTCTATTCTTTATTGCAGAGTTTTGTTAGATTCATCAAACTTTAGAAAGCATTTTAAGCTGTCTCTAGTTAAGACAAAGTCCTGAGCTGAGCGGGATAGAATCAAAATCCTGTCCTGCTGTGCTCTCTCAGTAATAATAATTATATAAAAAATAAGTTTTCTGAAATTAATATTGGTTTACCTTGTTGGGGACGGAGAACCTGTGTCCACATAGTCACCCACCCAGGTCCTGGCCAGACCTATCGATGTCTGAGCGAGCGGCACACTCATGCATTTTCTTCCTACCTCCAGAGGTGAAGTTGGAACACAATGAGTAGCGAGGTGACTCAGGTGAGCCACCACAGACAGGAGCTGCCTGAGGGTGAGGTGACGGGGGCTCAGCACCATGAGACGACACTCGTCAGCAGCACCGTCAGCAGCGCAGGAAGCAACTCCGTCAGCAATAACGTCAGCGTCGCCGTCGGTACAGAGGACCTTAACTCTGATGATGGCTCTGTCTCGGATGCAGATTCTCAAGGTAAATTTTTATTTGCATTTGCATTCACTGTGAGGAGGAAAAGTAGCCATCTATCTCAAAATAATTTATTTTGGGTGAGCAAAGCACACATTATACTTAATTATTACATTAATGTAATTATGCCTTTTTCCGAACACCGTGAATATTAAGTCTTCAGCTATATTGATTTTATTATTCCTTATAATTTGTTATCTTGGAAAATTATTTACGCTCCTGCTTCTAAAACTACACTAAATATAATTCAACTCTTAGCATTGTCTCTCTGTATGGAGAGAGGTAGACTTCAGCTCAGGCGAAGCACCAGTGCTTATTATTACTGTTTTAAATAAAGAAACGTATGTTATATTCATTTAAATTGCGTAAAATCTATGTGAATAAATAATACAGTTTAAAGCTAATATATGTATATATATATATATATATATATATATATATATATATATATATATATATATATATATATATATATATATATATATAGGTGTGTGTGTGTGTGTGTGTGTGTGTGTGTGTGTCATCGCCGAGACCTACAATGAGTGCAACAGAAACTGACAATCATAACAGAAATTGGTGTTGCGCGCTATACGCAGTTTTTTCTATTTGTTCTGGGTGTAAATAATTCAGATTATTGCTATGGAATATGCCAGTGTTTCTGCCTGATACAGTCGTAATACTAGCTTCTTAGTTTGCTACTGTTAGAAATACTTACCTACTGTACATGTACTTGGTAACTTGACAACCAAGCATATGACAGTGTCAGTAATTTAAGCATCGATAATCTCTGGATGAAGAAATTTTAATTTTATAGTAACACGAACGTCTAGTCTTAAAAAAAGTTTCTTCCTTGAAACAGGAGGAGGAGCGCAGCCGTCCAGCTCACGGGCTAGCCCAGACTCTGAACTCTCAGGCAGCAAGAACACCAAAACATGCAGAGTCTGCGGGGACAAAGCCAAGAGCATGCACTTTGGAGGTCAGTAGTCACCTTATGTACCGTGCACTACTGAACCTACGTCTTCTTTTTATTGTGTTCTTTTTCTAAATATCTTTAATATTTTTTCTATATCCATTCTGTATTCCTTCTACATCCAGCTTCTTCGAAACTGCACCGGATTCTTTAACGCCACTATAAAATTAGAATGGCATGTATTAAATTAACTCTTTTGATGTGAATAATATCACAGTAAAAACTAGGAATTTTCAGTCCTTCGTTTGTGTCTGGTGAAGGAGACTAGAGCTTCCAAGACGGTTTATAACGAAAAGTTTCGTTAACACTACCTTGATTCTAATTCTACCCACACTGAGATCTGAATTATTGACTCGCTACCTCTATCATTATCTCAGGTCTGTCGTGCGACTCGTGTAAGGCATTCTTCCGTCGAGCCGTCCACAACGACGCCTTCGTCAACTTCACTTGTCCCTACGATGGCAACTGTGTCATAAACATTGCCTCCAGGAAGTGTTGCCAGTACTGCAGGTAAATCTTTCTCGTCGGTATTTACTAATATTTTTATATATATTTATTCATCTTAGGCCAGATCACAAAAAAACATTTTATTTAATCTTAAAGGAGAATATAAAATATTCGTAGGAATCCACATTAAATATTAGATTGCCTTTGGCTTTGCCTTTGGTTTAATTCAAGAATCTGCCGTTGCAATTTTAAGAAAGTCACCTTTTTATGTATCGTAAATTAACTGACGGGCCACAGTCATTGCTCCTTTAAGATGGCAACATAGATCAGAGGTCCCACGTTTTTCCTACACCACCAGGTACAAGAAGTGTACGTTTATTGGGATGGAGCGCTCGTGGGTCATGTCTGAAGAGGACCGTGCACAAATGATGAAACAGAGGGCTGAAAAAAGGGCCAAACTGTCAGACGAAGCGAATAGGCGAGGCCTCAAGGATGGCAAGAGGGAGCTTATACCCTACGAGCCAGACCCAGACACCATACTTGAACACATGACTGTAGCGGTGAGTGAAACTTATCTTCTAGTGGCAGGAGAGCAGAATAACCCACACGATTTTAACAAACCTTTTTTTTTATATGAGTATAATTACATGCTTCCCACCATATACTTTGTAAAGCTATTCTTAGGTCAGTCGTTATTTTAGTTTAATGAATACACACGTAGAGTTATGAAACATTAAAATCTCTGGAGCGTCAAAGGCTTCAGCTCAGAGGGTCAAGGAAGGACACTGAAGGCTTCTTTACTTCTCTGGAGGACTTGTGCCTACCCCAGACCCAATTGATACGAAAAGGTCATTCATTATTGGGTCTTGGAACTGCTCCAGTGTAGAACATTTACATTAATCACTGAAGATGCATAGAATTTTATCTGTAACAGGATCAGACTTGAAATGTTTTCTCGAAGACACGATGTAACCCTCGTTCTAACCCTGCAGGAGCGAGACGAGGTAGAGCGAGCAGTGATGAACTACAGACGGGCCTACTCCCAGGTGCCTTACCGTCAAAACCTGAAGCAGTGCAACGTAGGCCGTCCCAGTGTTCAGATCATCAATATGTTCACAACCATCGTCAGGCGCTTCGCTTACTTTGCCCGACTCTTCCCGGAATTCTGCGATCTTCCTCCTCAGGTGCGCTGACCTCTCTCCACAGATGCGCTAAGCTCTTTCGCTACATATATTCTCCCCCCTCCCTTGGACTTCCAGTAAAGGGAGATTTTCTGCACTACTTCTATCTTCGTGTGTTTAAGTTGTGTGTAGTGTGTATGAGTGGGTAAAACAACAGCCCTTAGCCGATAAATTCTAGTTTGAAAAATAAATGTCGACTACTCTTCCTACGTTATCTCTTGGTCCCCAGCACATTCTCCTCATTTGATTTACCAGATGTTCTTTCCCATCGTGCGAGCGACGATGTTACTTGTTCCTTTCCTTCACTAGTGTCTAACACGTCTCCTCTCCCACCAGGACCAAGAGAACCTCCTTCGCAGTGGTATCTTGGAGATGTCACTGATCCGTGGTGTGCAGAGCTTTGACACGGAGAACAACCGGTGGCCAAACACCAAACAACAGCTCTACAAGGATGCTCCTACGCTCAACGTAGAAGACATGAAGAAACTAGTCTCGTGCGAGCTCTACGAAATGCACATGAAGTTCATCCACAGGTAGGTCTCTTAAATCTGACTCATACGAGTGCTCAGTTTACAATAGTTTTTCCTTTCTTGGTTAAAATCCTTCATCTTGTAGGTTATGATTATACTCCCTCAGAATTTCGGTTATAGAATTTATTTCTGTCATTCCTCAAATTTTTATGTACAAGAAAATATGTGGGCGAGAAATAGGTGTTTTAAACCCAGTATTTGTCTTATATTTATAATGATCATTTGCATGATAAAGTGTGGGTTATATGTAGGCGCTGCAAACTCCAATACCGGGCATACATCTTCGGCAGCGTTCCCCAACCGAGGTTCCGCAAGAGGTCACTAGGGTTTCCGAGAGAAATAGTGATGAAGATTGAGACACTTATGCAGCATATGGGAATCTTTATTCAGGAAACGTTTCGCCACGCAGTGGCTTCATCAGTCCAATACAAAGAGGAAGGCGTAAGGAGAGGAGGAGAATGAGGTAATCAGTCCCTCAACCTGGAGTCGATGTGTTCAGTCCATCAATCTTGTAGAATGTACAGCATAGGGCCGTAGACGTGGCTTATATACTGTAGTGAGGTGACGTGAAGCAGTTAGAGGCGGGGTCATAGTGGTACCATCCACTAGTCGAAGTAGGTCTTCGCCCAAAAGGTTGAACAAGTGTTGAAAAATTTCTTTGTAAAAAGATCCCATGATGCTGCTGTGTTTTTGACATTTTGTGATGAATGGTTTGAAAAACCGACATGTTGAAGATTGAGACACTTATGCAGCATATGGGAATCTTTATTCAGGAAACGTTTCGCCACGCAGTGGCTTCATCAGTCCAATACAAAGAGGAAGGCGTAAGGAGAGGAGGAGAATGGGGTTTAATCAGTCCCTCAACCTGGAGTCGATGTGTTCAGTCCATCAATCTTTGTAGAATGTACAGCATAGGGCCGTATACGTGGCTTATATACTGTATGAGGTGACGTGAAGCAGTTAGAGGCGGGGTCATAGTGGTACCATCCACTAGTCGAAGTAGGTCTTCGTCCAAAGGTTGAACAAGTGTTAAAGAATTCTTTGTAACAAGACCCCATGATGCTGCTGTGTCTGACAGTTGTGATGAATGGTTTGAAAAACCGCCCATGTTGAAGATTGAGACACTTATGCAGCATATGGGAATCTTTATTCAGGAAACGTTTCGCCACGCAGTGGGCTTCATCAGCCCCAATACAAAGAGGAAGGCTTTAAGGAGAGGAGGAGAATGAGGTAATCAGTCCCTAAACCCTGGAGTCGATGTGTTCAGTCCATCAATCTTGTAGAATGTACAGCATAGGGCCGTAGACGTGGCTTATATACTGTAGTGAGGTGACGTGAAGCAGTTGGAGGCGGGGGTCATAGTGGTACCATCCACTAGTCGAAGTAGGTCTTCGTCCAAAGGTTGAACAAGTTTTGGGAAGAATTCTTTGTAACAAAAACCCATGATGCTGCTGTGTCTGACAGTTGTGATGAATGGTTTGAAAAAACCGACATGTTGAAGATTGAGACACTTATGCAGCTTATGGGAATCTTTATTCAGAAACTTTTTCGCCACGCAGTGGCTTCATCAGTCCAATACAAAGAGAAGGCGTAAGGAGGGAGGGAATGAGGAAATCAGTCCCTCAACCTGGAGTCGATGTGTTCAGTCCATCAATCTTGTAGAATGTACAGCATAGGGCCGTAGACGTGGCTTATATACTGTAGTGAGGTGACGTGAAGCAGTTGGAGGCGGGGTCATAGTGGTACCATCCACTAGTCGAAGTAGGTCTTCTTTCCAAAGGTTGAACAAGTGTTGAAGAATTTTTGTAACAAGATCCCATGATGCTGCTGTTGTCTGCAGTTGTGATGAATGGTTTGAAAAACCGACATGTTGAAGATTGAGACACTTATGCAGCATATGGGAATCTTTATTCGGGAAAAACGTTTCGCCACGCAGTGGCTTCATCAGTCCAATACAAAGAGGAAGGCGTAAGAGAGGAGGAGAATAGGTAATCAGCCCCTAAACCTGGGTCGATGTTTCAGTCCATCAATTTGTAGAATGTACGCATAGGGCCGTAGCGTGGCTTATATACTGTGTGGGGTGACGTGAAGCATTTGGAGGCGGGGTCATGTGGTACCATCCACTGTCGAAGTGGGTCTTCGCCCAAAAGGTTGAACAAGGTTGAAGAATTCTTTGTAACAAGATCCCATGAGTGTTGTCGACAGTTGGATGAATGGTTTGAAAAACCGACTGTTGAGATTGAGAACATACGCATATGGGAATTTTATTCGGAAACTTTTTGCCACGCAGTGGCTTCATCAGTCCAATAAAAAGAGGAAGCGTAAGGAGAGGGGAGAAAGGTAATCAGTCCCTCAACTGGAGTCGATGTGTTCTCCCAATCTTGTGAATGTACAGCATGGGCCGTAGACGTGGTTTAAAATTTACTGTAGTGGGGAGTGAAGCATTTGGAAAGGGGGGGTCAAGTGGTACCACCACTGTCGAAGTAGGTTTTCGCCCCAAAGGGTTAACAAGTGTTGAAGAATTCTTTGAACAAGTCCCATGATGTGCTGTGTTGACAGTTGTGATGAAGGGTTTTTAAAAAACCCGAATTTTGAAGATTAGACACTTAGCGCTAGGGAAAATCTTTATTCGGGAAACGTTTCCCCCGGGAGTGCTTCATCCCCAAAATACAAAGGGGAAGGCGTAAGGAGAGGGGAGAATGGGTAAAGTCCCTCAACCTGGGTCGAGTTTTTCAGTCCTCAATCTTGTGAATGTACAGCATGGGGCCCGTAACGGGCTTATATACTGTAGGGGTGCGTGAAGCATTGGAGGGGGGGGTCATAGTGGTACCATCCATATCAAAGAGGTCTTCGTCCAAAGGGTTTGAAAAAGTTTGAAAAATTTCTTTTAACAAGATCCCATGATGCTGCTGTGTCTGCAGTTGTGATAAGGGTTTTTGAAAAACCGAAGTTAAAGATTGAGAACTTTTCAGCATTAGGGGAACTTTTTCGGAAACTTTTCCCCCACGCAGTGGCTTCATCATCCAAACAAAGGGGGAAGGGTAAGGAGAGGGGAGAAGAGGAAATCAGTCCTCAACCCTGGAGTCGATTGTTCAGCCATCAATTTTAGAATGTACGTGGGCCTGACGTGGCTTTTTTACTGTAGTGAGGTACGTGAACATTTGGGGCGGGGTCAAGTGGTACCATCCATAGTCAAGTGGTCTTGTAAAAAAGGTTGAACAAGTGTTAAAAGTTTCTTTGTAAAGACCCCATGATCTCTGGTCGACAGTTGTGATGTGGTTTGAAAAACCACAGTGAAGATTGAGACATTATGCCATAGGGGGAAATCTTTATTCAGGAAAACTTTTCGCCACGCAGGGGCTTCTCAGTCCAATACAAAAGGAAGGCGTAAGGAGAGGAGGGAATGAGGTAATCAGTCCCCAAACCTGGAGTCGTGTTTTCAGTCCATCAATCGTGAAGTACGCATGGGCGCCTCCCAACTGCTTAGTCCCCTCATACGTATATAAGCCACGTTACGGCCCTATGCTGTACTTCAAAAGATTAATGGACTAAACACATCGATCCAGGTTGAGGGACTGATTACCATTTTTTTCCTCCTCCCCTTTTCCCCTCCTCTTTGTTTTGGGGACTGATAAAGCTACTGGTGGCAAAAAAGTTTCCTGAATAAAATTCCAATTTAAAAAGTGTTTTTTTAAAAAAATTTTTTTTTCGTTTTTTTTTTTTTTTTTTTTTTTTTTTTTTTTTTTTTTTTTTTTTTTTTTTTTTTTTTTGGGGGGGGGGGTTTTTTTGGGGTTTTTTTTTTTTTTTTTTTTTTTCTTATTTTGTTTTTTTTTTTATTTTTTTTTTTTTTTTTTTTTTTTTTTTTTTTATTTTTTTTTTTTTTTTTTTTTTTTTCAAACCATTCATCAAACGTCAGACACAGCCATCTGGGATCTTGTTACAAAATTCTTCAACACTTGTTCAACCTTTGGACAAAGACCTACTTCGATGTGGATGGTACCACTATGACCCCCCCCCAACGCTTCACGTCCCCTCACAAAACGTTATGCCACGTCTAGGGCCCTTTTCTGCTTTTTACAAATTGATGGACTGAACACTCGACTCCAGGTTGAGGACTGATTCCCTCTTCCCCTCCTCCCCTTACCCTTCTCTTGGGGAAATGGTAGGGGAAACCCGACAAGATGGGAAAAAAAGACACTTATGTACATTTCAGGACATTTATTAAAGGAAACGTTTCGCAGGGTGGCTTTTTCACCTAAACAGAGAAAACTAGAAAACACACATATATATAGGGTGGAGTCAGGTGTGTGAAGGGGGGTGAGGGGGAATAGTAGTTAGTAGTAATGGAACAAGGAGGTGGGTTAGAGGGGGGACCTGCGGCATAAGTAACACCATTTCCCAGGATGGGTAAACCTTTTGCTTAGTAATTTTGAAATCTGTAACTCCCGGTTTTTGCTTTATAGTGTTACTGACAGAAATTATGAGCTTCAATGCATTTTCTCCGTTTTAAGTCGTCTTCTTTAATACTGTTTTGCTTATTGAATTTTCATAGGGTCCCCAAAATCGTTCCCCTTTTTTTAAAACACGTTTTTTCGGTCACATTTTTGCAAGCATTTTTTTTGTTTGTATTCTAAAGTCCAGGTTCTGGCTGTTTCCCTACATTTTTTTGTCACAAACCCCCCCACTGGGATAGTGTAAATTCCTGACTTTTTGCCGGGTCATCTTGGGGTTTTTTTATCAGGTTCCTAAAGTAGTGAAGATGGGAGATATTTTAGCAGTTTTCTCTGTTTTAGGACTGAAGAAACCACTCGTGGCGAAACGTTTCCTTTAATAATGTCCTGAACTGTACATAAGTGTTTTTTCCCTTCCCCTTTGTATTGGGCTGATGAACCCCTGCGTGGCGAAAAGTTCCCGAAAAAAGATTCCCCAAGCTGCATAATTCTCAAATTTAACAGTCGGTTTTTTAAACCATTCATCACAACTGTCGACACGCAGCATCATGGGGTCTTGTTACAAAGAAATTTTTCAACATTGTTCAACCTTTTGGGCGAAGACCCACTTTTACTAGTGGATGGCCACTATGACCCCCTCCAACTGCTTCACTTTACTCCTACAGTATATAAGCCCCGTCTACGGGCCCCAGCTGTACATTCACAAGTTGAGGACTGAACACATCGACTCCAGGTTAGGATGATTACCCCATTCTCCCCCCTCTCCCTTTTCCCTTCCTCTTTGTATGGACTGATGAAGCCCCTGCGTGGCGAAACGTTTCCTGAATAAAGATTCCCCTATTGCATAAGGTTTTCAATCTTAACATGTCGGTTTTTAAACATTCATCAAAATAGTGATGAAGAATATCTATGTAAATGAATTTTTTAGTAACTTGTGTTTTTATTTTTAATTGTAATTTACTTACACACGAGGCATATTCTTGGAAAATTCTTGGGTATTATAATAAAATCTTCAACCAGTTACGTCTTTGGGTAGTTTCAAATCTAGGTTGGATAAGTATATGAGTGGGAGGGGTTGGATTTGAGTGGGACTTTCACATCAGAGCTTATTTCTTGGGTGGCATTGAAAATTGGGTTGGGCAAATGTTTTGTTAGTGGGATGAATTGTAAAGGACCTGCCTAGTATGGGCCAGCAGGCCTCCTGCAGTGTTCCTCCTTTCTTATGTTCTTATGTAATCTGATCTTACACTTAAGATGAGATTTACTAACCTATCCATGGATAAGTTCTGGATCTCTGTGAAAGAAGATTATCCTGCCATTCATAGGAGAGCAATAAATATATTGCTACAGTGTTCAATCTCCTGCACGCGTCAGTAAGCTTCTTCTTATTTAACAAATATCAAGAACAAAGACAATTACAGGTTTTACATCAGAGAAACAAATTTCCTTATCTATATTGGCTTCAAAAATAACATTTCCTTGACCCATATATTTGTTCATATGACATTTTTGCCTTGATTTATCTTATGCCTTTTGAAGATTGTCAGTAAACGATTAAGTTATTGTAGTATAAATTAGACACGTGTGCAACTCTTGGGTATCTTTATTGAGGAAACGTTTCGCCACACAGTGGCTTCATCAGTCCATACAAAGGAGAAACTTGAAGAACAGGAGGAGAATGAGGTAATCAGTCCCTCAACCTTGAGTCGATGTGGTCAGTCCATCAATCTTGAATAGATTGATGGACTGACCACATCGACTCAAGGTTGAGGGACTGATTACCTCATTCTCCTCCTGTTCAAGATTCTCCTTTGTATGGACTGATGAAGCCACTGTGTGGCGAAACGTTTCCTCAATAAAGATACCCAAGAGTTGCACACGTGTCTAATTTATCAACATGTCGGTTCTCTGAACCATTCATCTACAAGTTATTGTAGTAGTTATTATCTGTTTTCGTCCTGTTTATATGTCATATATTGGTTATTTAGGTCTATATTTTTTTATGTTTACAGATATGGTTATTTTTTTGGTGTGAATAAAAACCTCCGTATGAGGTCTCTTGAACAAGCAGTTTGATTTTTTTTTTTTTTTTGCATTGTAAATAAACTTGAAATACAGTTAGGTAATTTTTTCTTAAGCCAGTTATCAGAAAATAAATAAATTATATTTTCCTTGTAATCTTAAAGTTTATAAAAGAGAAAAAATATATTAATAATGATATATATATATATATATATATAATAATAATTTTTATGTCTAGGTTCCCTGAGACATGAAAATTATTTCAAGGGTTCTCCCAGGGTATAAAGTTTGAGAAACACTGACCTACAATTGTACAAAATCCTGACATTAAGTCTGGAGATATGTCAAGGATATATTTACATTCGCCAATCTTGCATATCCTCTAGAGTTATTTAATTTTTTTTATACCTAGGGATAGGTTAGATGTCAGGTCCACCCCCAGCTTCTCTTTGTTCGAATTCTATGAGCTGTTTTCCTCTCAGATGATAAAATGCCACCCGCTTCCTGTCTCCACCTTCATCGCCCTGCATTTGTTGGGGTTGAATTCTAGTATAACCACTTGTCCGAACATGCGGTGAAATCTTTACATGACACTGAACACTACATCAGCAAAGTATTTTGGCTCCCAATAACTCTTATCCTCATGCTGATATATATATATAAATGACCTGATTCTTAAATACATTTATTTGAAAGTAATTTTATTTTATATTATGTAGGGGAAGGAAGGCGGGGTAGGGGTCGTCCTCGAAAAGGTTGGAAGGAAGGGGTAAGGGAGGTTTTGTGGGCGAGGGGCTTGGACTTCCAGCAGGCGTGCGTGAGCGTGTTCGATAGGAGTGAATGGAGACGAATGGTATTTGGGACCTGACGATCTGTTGGAGTGTGAGCAGGGTAATATTTAGTGAAGGGATTCAGGGAAACCAGTTATTTTTATATAGTCGGACTTGAGTCCTGGAAATGGGAAGTACAATGCTTGCGCTCTAAAGGAGGGGTTTGGGATATTGATGGTTTGGAGGGATATGTTGTGTATCTTTATAGGTATATGCTTCTAAGCTGTTGTGTTCTGAGCACCTCTGCAAAAACAGTGATTATGTGTGAGTGAGATGAAAGAGTTGAATGATGATGAAAGTATTTTCTTTTTGGGGATTTTCTTTCTTTTTGGGTCACCCTGCCTCGGTGGGAGACGGCCGACTTGTTAAAAAAAAAAATACGTTATATCCCTTTCTGTCAACCACATCCACGCACGCACTCACATTCGTGTTCCCACTCAAGATCCGGGCTCATTCCCACTCATGTACCCCTGCCCCACTCTGTGCTCCTGTCCCTCTCACCTTCCTGTTTCATACAGCCTAAAGGAACTGAACGTGGACGAGCCGGTGATGATGATGTTGTTACTGACTGTTCTCTTCACTAGTGATCGTCCTGGGCTGCTCGGCGCACCCACCATCCAGGCCCTCCAAGACCACTACCTGCAGCTTCTCAGGTGCGTCCCTCAGTCTCCTGCAGCTCCTCTCAGGGGGTCTCACCCTCCTCTTGGGTCGATCACGCTCGACAGGAGGGTGAATATCTCACAATTAATACTCAGTTCACTCTGCCATGCATGATCAACCAGCTTCTTCACACTGTCACCAAGCACGAAGGACGTCATTTTTTTTTTTTAAATATGAATCACCGCGATTTGTTTAAATAAAATGCATAAATACCCTAATCACCATTGCCTTTCATATCAACCAACCAGAGAGACCGCCTTGTCATGTGAATATGAAACGGAAGCCTGTTAAAGGCTTTGCACTCTTGCCGGATTACTTGTCATTTCTTTTACTCATGAACATATAAAATGAGAAGTAAATGTTAATGACTATTGTATACATCGAGGATACACTTTTTTTTTCTTTCCCTTGTGTTTCTTAATGATCCTTAGTCCTGTAGTATTTTTTTTCCAATCGGGGAGGTGCTGAGGCGAGAGGCATTGTGGTCCAGTGTAATTTCCAGATTATAATTATAGCATCTTAATCCATTACACATTATATTAAATCAATAGATATACTTTAAAATTAATTTATCTGCTTTCCTCTCTTACCTTGGGATGACCTCTGATGACCCTGGGGTGACCTCTGATGACCTTGGGGTGACCACAGGAAGTACCTCGGGTGGCGCTATGGCTCCCACAACGCTCCCATCCTTTACCCTCGACTCCTCATCAAACTCACCGACCTCAGAGAACTCAATGATCAACACACCGAGTACAACCTCAAACTTGCCAAGCAGGAGGTAAGTCCACAATAAAAATATGAGTAAAAATAGACGGGGAAGAAGGAGATTTTATATATATATATATATATATATATATATATATATATATATATATATATTATATATATATATATATATATATATATATATATATATATATATATATATATATATATATATACAGAGAGAGACAGAGACAGACAGACAGACAGAGAGATGATGCAAGGAGAGGGGATATTACAATGAAGAGAGAGATGTAGGAAAGGAAGTGAGAAAAGGAAAAGGGACGGAAAGGTGTTAAAACGAATGAGGAAGAAATTAGAGTAAGAAAGAAACCAAGACAGAGCGAACGAAGTAAATACAAAAAAAAATCCTGAAAACTGACTCTAGTTTGCAGAGAAATCATGAGGAAAAATTGTACAAAAAAAAAACTAATTGTTTAGACTCAACGAAATCGTAATCACACGACTGTAAACAAATCAGGAAACGGTTGGGGCTTGAACCCATGGCTTGAACCCATTACTCACCTGCCATGGGTTTCAAGCCCCACCCGTTCCGTGATTTGATTAGCTAATTGTTATATTAGGACTGCGATTTATTCCTAGGGGCTAAGCTAATGTCGTATTTTAACTCATACTTGCGCAAATTAACTAAATAACCTACTCATCGGAGAACATGCTAAAACTACAGCAAGTAGCTTGACAGGATCTTGGGCAAGTTAGAACATATACCTGAAACACCTCAGAGGTCTTAAATTGTCTTTATTTACAATATGAACATATTTCTTAATGTGGTTCTGTGCTCTCACTCCGGCAGATCGCTGAGATACAAATGCAGCTGGGACAGCTTAACCTAAACCATTACACGGAGTGGTCGACTATAATGCAGCAGCATAGCGGATCTTGCGCCCTGTCTGCACCTTCGGGAGGAAATGTAGGCTCTCCCACGAGCCCCGAGGGTAGTGTTCCTCCGTCAGTAGTCCCGATGCAAGTAGGCGAAAGCCCAAATACGTTAATTCCCAACGAGTCTAACGTGGAAGGAATGGCATCAGGTGTGGCACCAGGAGATCTGGGGGCTCAGTTTTCCTCCGGGATTGGCAGCCTCTTGGCATCGCTGGACTTCGAGCAGTTAGCGAGTAGCCAGACTTTCCAACGGTTGGTTATGCAACAGTTCCAGAAATCGATTATAAACGTCCTCAGCTCTCCAAACTTTGGTTTGGGTAATCTTTTCCCTGACGGTCGTACCATGCAGCATCACCACCAGCAACAACAGCAGCAGTATAATCACCATCTTCAACAACAACAACAGCACCCGCAACAACATCAACACTCGCAACAACAACAGCAGCACTCGCAACAACAACAACAACAACACCCGCAACAACAGCAGCAACACCAGCAGCATCCGCAACAACAGCAACAGCACCCGCAACAAATGCAACAACACCAGCAGCACCCGCAACAACAGCAGCACCCGCAACATCATCACCAGCAACAACAACAACAACAACAACACCTACAATTACAGCAACACACACTAACCGATAAATCAAAGCAAAATTCACCAATAATCTCTCAACAACCATCACATTCCCAGACAGTATCACCACATTTTCTCTTACAGCATCAAAAGCTGTCGCCTCATTCACAAGGTCCAGAAGAGCAAGTGCCAGTGCCTCTCCAAGACTCAGACCTAATGACACAGCTCGATTATCTGAGTTCTAGTCAGCCAAACAGCCCACAGAGCGTGCAGCAGTCCCAGCATGCTTTTCACCAACTGGAGCATCACCTTATGAACGATATTAGTGGTTGTGGAAGCTTCGGAGAACAAAATCCTTATCAACACCAGCAGCAACTGCAGCAGCAGTATCAGTATCACCTACAGCAACAACAGCATGAGCAACAAGCTCTATTTCTTCAGCACCAGCAACATATGCATCACCAGCAACTACAAGAACAGCAGCAGATGCAGCATCAGAGCATGACAGGGACGGGTCTGATCGTTCCTAAGCAAGAACCCGTAACTCCTTCTTCTCCCACTATACACACACCTCACACCTGGGTAGAACACCCGCTGCTGTCTGATGATCCTCAGTGTATCCCCCATCAACACCAACAACACTCACCACCTCATCAAACTTCCCCAACACTTTCCCGGCAACAGCAGCAACAACACAGTGACTCAAATGACGAATGTTCGCGTCAAAAACGCAATTCGCTCTCAGACTACAGTGGGCTTACTCATTTTCGTAATTTACTGGAAGAGTTTGCAACATTAAACAATCCAGATCACCTTCGACAAGTCAAGCAGATACTGGGTCCTGATCTTGTTTCATCTCTACATCAGAAGCTAGTCGAGTCTGAGTCAACGCTGCAGTCACGATTCCAGTTAGCGCAACAGCAGCAGTCTCTCCCTCCATCACCGCCACAGCCTCCACAACTCCCATCACAATCCCATATCTACTCTTCAACAGCCACTTACCAGTATTTTTCTGGAGGGGATTACCCTGGAGAGGTAGCAGTGAGCAGTGTCCCTACCAACGCAGGCTCACACGACATTCAGCATAACATTGCAGACACAACCACCTTCTGCAGAAGTCAACAGAGAGTGTCACCACCAATGTTGAACCTGGGGACCTCCAGCACACCTCCATCACCACCTCACCCCGTCAGCAGCAGCTCCACCATTGTCTACCAGTACCAGCCAGACCTAATCCACAACGTCTCCTCATCCACCAGATTTACAATTTAGCACATTTAACTATAATGCATTATCCTGTATATATCTAGTTTTCGTCTCACATTATGTGACCTAGCACCAAATTTTTTTCATTGGCTTTATATTTTTTTAATTTGTGTACATGAAAAGAAAATGGTCTCAGCAGGCAAATTTATTGATGCGCTTCTTATTTTCCAAAAAAAAAAAAAAAAGAGATAAAAAATAAATAAATAATACGTATTAAACTTTGTTGAAATTTTTAAAAGGCTAAAAACCCGTGTGGGTCATTTACCGCAGGGAGTGCTGGGGGTTCGATCCACCGTCTGCTAATCGTGGCACTGACTGCAGATCAGTCAGGCTTTTGCAGAATGATAATGTCATGCATACTATATCGACAATTTTTGTGTGTTATACTTGCATGATATAACACGTTTCATTGGTTTATCTTTCGGTGCTACGGAAAAACGAATGTCTTTTAAACACCAATCTGAGTGCTGGGATGAACGTTCACTACTGCACCAATCTGAGTGCTGGGATGAACGTTCACTACTGCACCGATCTGAGTGCTGGGATGAACGTTCACTACTGCACCGATCTGAGTGCTGGGATGAACGTTCACTACTGCACCGATCTGAGTGCTGGGATGAAACGTTCACTACTGCACCAATCTGAGTGCTGGGATGAACGTTCACTACTGCACCGATCTGAGTGCTGGGATGAACGTTCACTACTGCACCGATCTGAGTGCTGGGATGAACGTTCACTACTGCACCGATCTGAGTGCTGGGATGAACGTTCACTACTGCACCAATCTGAGTGCTTGGATGAACGTTCACTACTGCACCAATCTGAGTGCTGGGATGAACGTTCACTACTGCACCAATCTGAGTGCTTGGATGAACGTTCACTACTGCACCAATCTGAGTGCTGGGATGAACGTTCACTACTGCACCAATCTGAGTGCTTGGATGAACGTTCACTACTGCACCAATCTGAGTGCTGGGATGAACGTTCACTACTGCACCAATCTGAGTGCTTGGATGAAACGTTCACTACTGCACCAATCTGAGTGCTGGGACGAACGTTCACTACTGCACCAATCTGAGTGCTGGGATGAACGTTCACTACTGCACCAATCTGAGTGCTTGGATGAACGTTCACTACTGCACCAATCTGAGTGCTGGGATGAACGTTCACTACTGCACCAATCCGAGTGCTGGGAGGATGAAGGTTCACTGCTGCATTAATCTAAGAGTAGAATGAAAGCTCCCTTCTGCACCAAGCTGAGTCCTGTGATTAAGCATTAATTTTACTGATGTGTATTGTTATAGTACTCTGTGTCACACCCTCCTGCGCCCTGGGTGATGGTCACCTCAGTAATGTTGTTGTCCAGACTGACAACTCTTCGCCCCTATCCTCAGAATAAAAACTATTAAAGATTTTATTTAAACCCTTTTCAGAGATATCCATAATCGCGTAACTCATCAAATCTTACCCGTTTACACCCTGCCTGTCCCATACGAGTTTAGCGCTTTTTTTTAAATTTCGATCCCAGTCATTATTTTTTTTTTCATTTAAACTGTCTCGCATATAATTATTAATCTCACTTAATAAAGGCCAAAGTACACTGTTAATGCTGTGTTTGTAGTTTCATTATGTCCCTCTTTCACTGTTCTGGGGAATGACTCGGGAAGTCGTAACGACACGATTGTCAACGACTGGTGTCGTAGCTGGATCGCTAGTGCACACAGCTCACACACTGAGGTCCGGGGGTCAATCCCCGGTACGGGTGGAAACAGTAGGGGGGAATTTCCTTAAGGCACCTGCTGTCCATGTTCACCTATCAGTAAAATAGGTTCCTGGGTGTTAGTCGACTGGTGTGGGTCGCATCCTGGGAACAAAATTGACCTAATTTGCCCGAGATGCTCTGCATAACAAAGGGCTTTCTATATAGTAGTATGTCACTGATGTCAGCTAGGCCTGTATACCTTGTACATGTACTTGTAGAAATAAAGATTATTATTATTATTATTATTGTAATTATTATTATTATTATTATTATTATTATTATTATTATTATTATTATTATTATTATTACTGACCGAGCAGAGGGTTCAGGGCTCGAAACGGCGTAAGCTGTCAGCGGCCCTAGAAACCCCCGACTAGAAGAGCTTAGAGCTCCAACACTGTCTTATGAACTGTTCTAGGAATAAATCCCCATGAACCACTATATTAATTACGGGCATGTGCGTCAAGTAAGTTTATTTAGGTACAAGTGCACATAAATACAGTTACACAAATTATCATACATGGTAACAAGTGTCATTTACCTAGAATAACCCAAAAAGTTCAAAGTGACTTATTTCCATTCGGGTGTTACAGGGACTGGCGGTGCTGTTAACCTCGTTGCTGAAGAACGTTAAGCTGGAACGAAGAAGAATCCACTATTTTATCGACAGTGTTTGTGTTCGTATGGAAACGTGAGGAGCATCTTATCCTTGAGGGAGGTCCCTTTGACGTCGGTGAGGAGGGGGGAGGCTCTCTGATCCAAGAGACTGGATCTGTTTTTCCCATCCTAGGATCGAATATGTTTACCTTTCATTCTCCTGGCGCTGTAGCAACCCTATGGGCTGAGCACTTCCCCATAAACATAAAAGTAAATTTAACCTTGTGTCACACGTTGTACTGAACCACATCTGCCAGGAAAATGATAGGATGAATTTTACTGTACACTAACGGCCCCTTTCAAGGCAGGCGAAATTGTTGACCTGGAGAATATACAGAGAACTTTCAATGCGCGTATAAGTACAATAAAGTACCTAAATTACTGGAAACGGTTGAAGTTCCTTGGCCTTTGCTCCTTGGAACACAAGCAAAAAAGATTCTTAATAATATGCACTTGGAAAATCCTAGAGAGACTGGTCCCATATCTACACACGGAAATCACTCCCTACGAGCATACATAAGGGGAATTACCAATAGACCCCTGGCTATCTGTAAGAGGGAGCTGGACAGTCACCTAAAATCAGTACCTGACTAGCCGGGCTCTGGTTCGTACGTCGGTTTGCATGCTGCCAGCAGTAACAACCTGTTTGATCAAGCCCTGATCCACTGCGAGGCCTGGTCATGGACGGTGCCGCGGGGGTGTTGACTCTCCTGGCATACTCCAGGTAACCAGTGTCTTCCTCCTCTATCCTCCCATCCGTATTACCTGTTGTACCGAATTAACAGTGTCATCCTCAGCCAGGGCAACATGGGTTTAGAGCAGGTCGCTCCTGTCTGTCTCAAATATTGGATCACTACGACAAGGTCCTAGATGCACTAAAGACAAAAAGAATGCAGATGTAATATATATACAGACTTTGCAAAAGCCTTCGACAAGTGTGACCATGGTGTAATAGCGCACAAAATGCGTGCTAAAAGAATAACAGGAAAAGTTGGTAGATGGATCTATAATTTCCTCACAAACAGAACACAAAGAGTAGTAGTCAACAGAGTAAAGTCCGAGGCGGCTACGGTGAAAAGCTCTGTTCCACAAGGCACAGTACTCGCTCCCATCTTGTTTCCCATCCTCATATCTGACATAGACAAGGATGTCAGCCACAGCACCGTGTCTTCCTTTGCAGATGACACCCGAATCTGCATGACAGTGTCTTCCATTGCAGACACTGCAAGGCTCCAGGCGGACATCAACCAAATCTTTCAATGGGCTGCAGAAAACAATATGAAGTTCAACGATGAGAAATTTCAATTACTCCGATATGGTAGACACGAGGAAATCAAAACTTCATCAGAGTACAAAACAAATTCCGGCCACAAAATAGAGCGAAAAACCAACGTCAAAGACCTGGGAGTGATCATGTCGGAGGATCTCACCTTCAAGGACCATAATATTATATCAATTGCAGCTGCTAGAAAAATGACAGGATGGATAATGAGAACCTTCAAAACTAGGGATGCCAAGCCCATGATGACACTCTTCAGGTCACTTGTTCTATCTAGGCTGGAATATTGCCGCACACTAACAGCACCTTTCAAGGCAGGTGAAATTGCTGACCTAGAAAATGTACAGAGAACCTTCACAGCGCGCATAACGGAGATAAAACACCTCAATTACTGGGAGCGCTTAAAGTTCCTGAACCTGTACTCCTTGGAATGCAGGCGGGAGAGATACATGATTATATACACCTGTAAAATCCTAGAGGGACTAGTACCGAACTTGCACACGAAAATCACTCACAACGAAAGCAAAAGACTTGGCAGACGATGCAACATCCCCCCAATGAAATGCATGGGTGCCACTAGCACGTTAAGAGACAATACAATAAGTGTCAGGGGCCCGAGACTGTTCAACTGCCTCCCAGCATACATAAGGGGGATTACCAATAGACCTCTGGCAGTCTTCAAGCTGGCACTGGACAAGCACCTGACGGTACCTGACCAGCCGGGCTGTGGCTCGTACGTTGGATTGCGTGCAGCCAGCAGTAACAGCCTGGTTGATCAGGCTCTGAACTACCAGGAGGCCTGGTCACAGACCGGTCCGCGGGGGCGTTGACCCCTGGAACTCTCTCCAGGTAAACTCCAGGTATCCCTGAGTTACCTACTGTACTGAACCACCAGTGTTATCCTCAGCTATCCCTCTCCACTTGCACATCATTCTCCTGAATCCGCCCTTCCTCAGCAAACTCCTGTATTGTAACTGTAATCATTAGCAATTCAACAGTTCCCCGCCTACAACAGCAATTGCATCTCGCTCGGATATTGAACTGATTGGCATCATACACACCTGCTTTTGAGGAAGCCTCCGCTCCCTCGTTATATCTGGATATTGCCAAACCAGCAGTTATCTGCCTCAGTCGTGGAGTCTCATAGACACTTCCCAGTCATTAGAGTCACTGTCGCGCTGTACCATGGTAAGTGTATTGCACCATATCCGTCTCTATCTCTCCATCTTCCTGTCTCTGACCTTCTCTTATCAGTTGACTTTATATTTGTTTCCTTCTTTTACTCTTAACTTTGTCTTCTAGAAGTGTTCTGGAACAATTATGTCTTGATCATGAGTTTGTGCTTCCCGCCTGTGCAACGATAACTGTATATTGTAAATCACGGTGTTAAAACTCTCTGATCAGTCAGGCTGTTGGTAATAACATGTGAAAACAATATGTTATTTCTTTT